CCCCAAAACCCCAAAACCCCAAAACCCCTTTCTATTGCATCAATATTGAAATAATAGTCTTAATCTATCTTTTTGCTAAGCCATTGAAAGATTCCTTGCACTTTCTTGGCAAAAGTATCCAACTTTGGGTATTCACTCTGGTGTTCAGTGAAGTAGTGCACACCTATGAAGCTGATAAACTCCATAAATTCCTGAAAAGTCAAGTATTCCTTAGAAATATCTGTCTTTTCAGCAACCTGACACTGCTTGAAAAGGTTCAGACATACAGTTCTATTAACGAGACATGGAATTATGTTTCTTTCTTGGCAATATCTGTACATCACTTTGGTATCCATTACAGGCTTCTTTGACAGGATGGATCTTGTTGCATAAAGATTAAAATCAGCCTGCATAGGTTCCTTCCACGAAGCCTTAATCTCTTTAAGCTTTGAAGAACCTAACTCTATAAGCCAGTCTGAGTATAAATCAGTCTTTTCTCTATAAAAAGCTTTCTCTCTGACAAACAGAAACTGTTTGAGGTAATCCTTAACCTTCTTTTCTGTGTTAATCTGGCTTTTTGATCTTAACTTAAGCTTAGCCAGCTTGATTAAGATCTCTCAAAATTTGCTAAGAATGATCGAAAATGAAGCTTACTTGAAGTTGATAAACTTGGAGGTATTCCCTTGTGAGAAGTAAATATCTGCATCTGCAGGCCCGAAATTCTTGAAATACAGCTCATTGTCTTTAAGGAAAGATTGCAGCTGAGAAGTATCCATCCCACTGAAGTTATCAGATCTCCCAAGTGTTCAATAATGTTCGAATATTTTCTGAATATTTCCTAAAAATAAAAACTTAAAGTACTGAATCTTGTTGGATCAATGTAGGAATAAAGCTCCTGTGAATATTTATGGGATTCTACATCATCTTTTGCAGCTTTAACAGCTGAAGTCTCATATCTTCTGATCTCTTCAAAGCCATCTTCTTTCCTAAGAGTGTTTTCCCAGCCAAATCCGTTAGTATTTTCTAGATTTAGGAGTAAATATCTTACTGTGATGTTTTGGTTTCTTGAAATGTTTTGAAAACTTTTCCTGATTCCACTCTGCATCAGCTAGCTTGGATACAAACTTGCCTAAAATTTGATCTTGCTTATGCTCATTGTAATAACTTGGCCGAACTTGTTGGTAGACAGCTCTATTTTGCTCTCCAGTGAACTTATCGCTAAAGTCGAGCTTCTCTGTCTTAGACAGATGATATCTAGAATCTTGTGCTTCAAAGACCCTTAGATCACCTTGATTAAACCTCTCAAAAGCAAGGTCTTCCTTCTCTTGGTCTATCTGCTGCATTGCTTGCCTTATCTTGAAACTCTGAGGGTCTTTTCCATTATAATAAACCTTCTGGCTGAAGTCCAGATTGATCTTACTGTTGCGTTCTTCCTTAACCTTTTTCTCTTCAAGCAATTTCTGCTGTCTGAGTTCTTCCTCAATCTTCTCCTGTTCTAATCGTGATTTTTCTTGCATTTTGAGGCTGTGAAGCTCCTCTGCTTTCTTCTGGTACTCCTCAAGCTCTTGGTCTTTATATTTAAAGAACTTTAGCAAGACTCTTTTATAAGGATCTTCCTTGGCCTGAGCCTTTTTAGGCTTAATGCTCTTTCATGCAACACTTTTCCGAGATGCTGTAGCTAGAGAGACTCTACTTTGCTCTGAAGAAGGTTAAGGAAATTCTAAGTTACCTAAATTCTTTACAGATAGGTTGTATAGGAGTTTAAAGTCCTTTCTTTTATCTAAAGATTATGAAATAGAAAGTACCAATATTAAGACCTGTAAAGGCCGTACTTTTAGTCTTCCTATGCTTCTTGCTTGGAGATTCTGGCAAGTGAGATTTTGACTATTGGTAACTGACTACATTTACCTGTGACATTTTCGATAGATTCTGAATTTTTCAATGATTTAACTGAAGTATGGGGTTTTGGGGTTTTGGGGTTTTGGGGTTTTGGGG